GGCCTGGGCCGCGGCTCGACGCGGCTGCCGCCGTGAGGGCAAGGCCGAAAGCGCCCTGGGCTAGGGGGGTCGCGAACCGCACAACAGGACGTGGCACGGTGACCACAGAAGGCGTGCGTGGCGTTCAGCGACTGCTACAGTGATGCTTCCACAGTTTGTGTAGGACGAGTCCATTTTATTCCGTATTACGCACAAAGAATTGCCAGGTATTCCCTCAACACACCTTCATGCTTCTGTAACAATTCAGTTACATTTCACTGTACCTTTCTGTTAGATTCTGACCAACTTCTTTTAACCTGACAACCAAAGACGGCATCAGCCTTTGAACGCGAGTGGGTGGACTGCTGTGCTCTGCACTGCTGTGGCAGAAAACGTTTATTTTTCTGCTAAACTGTGCCCAGAAAACTTTTTAGCATATAGATGAAATAATATGTCCCTAGCATTGTATTTAGGACCTTTATTACAACATCTTTCAGCACTAGTCTTGAGCTGGCTTGTATTTACTCCAACTTCTACTACACTTGATCAATGAAAATAGCAAAAGCTGGGACTAGACACACAGAATCTGTAAATTTGTGCCAAGTACTGGTCTTAGCAAATCAGTGTTACAAATGCTATTCTCATAATGGTGTGCCCTCACTCCACTGCACTGTTTTAGGGCAGAAATTCAAAAAGTCAAGAATACTCACAAGAAGGTAAATCATCTTTTTTGCATAATACATGTTGAGTTTAATTTATATTCTGTACCACCCAAGTTTCTTCATACAGTGTAATTCCAAATTCTTGTATTGCCATGCAGGTGCTTATCATCCTTTGACCCATTAAGAACTGATGCCATCGATGCAGATGCCAGTTGGTGACTTACATACTCAATACCGGTATTTCCAGCTGTAAAATTTAGTTTTTTAATAAGACAACAGTTATTTTGGCTTTTAAATAGCAAAACATTTTTGTCACAGAATTCACTAAATAATTTTGAAATAAATCATCTAGAGTAAACTGAATTCTGCTTTTGATTATACACTGCTAATGTGCAATAATTAAAAGAACTATGCAATAATGGAAAAACAACCAAACAGGCAAAAATACTGTGCAAATTACATTGTTAATAGTTTAAATGTGCAGACATGTTCTACAAAATTTTTATATGATGTTTTTTCCTAGAAAAATTTTTCAAATCAAAAAGAAAACATTAACTGTGTCACTACTTTTAAGCTAATTTAATTAGGTCAAAGGTTCTTTTTTCATTTGTTGAAATGCCAATTCTGAACATACAACCTGTAAAATAAAAGATATATGTATTTATGACTATACACTTATGCCCGGACATTAAATTCTCCTTTGACAAATAGTTCATGTAATAAAGGGCTTGATGGTCTGGAAGGAATGCAGGAAAAACAAACAAACAAACAGAAAACCAACCTACAAACCCCTAAAAAAAAAAAAAAAAAGAAAAAGAAAAAGAAAAAAAAGAAACAACTTGTCTGGAATTAATCCAGATAAGCCGTGCCCCTTCATGGGCAGCACCAGTCTTTCCTTCTAAAAACTGCATGTGATACGGTACTTACCTAACAGAAATCAAAGAGAGGGGAAAAAAACCAGGCAGCTTCAAAAAGGGGAAAAACTAATCCAAAAAGATATAGATAAAACTTCAAGTGTTACGAAAGAAATCAGGCCTCGTGGTTAAAATATAGAAAGTGGAGTTACTTAAAAGACACATTTGTGCTATTAATGATGTGATATAGATTTCCTTTTATGTTGGCACCTTAAGGACTGTAGACAAGCTTCAGTTACAACAGCCGTCAAAATTTTTCTATAAAGCTAGAATTTCAAGTCATCAACACATTTTTTGAGGACAAAGTAAGTCCTTGTGCATAGGAATCAAAACCTAAGTACTTATTTAAAACTTTGTCTACTAAATTTTACTGTCATATTTTATGCCAGATTATTTAACTGTTGCTGTAATTGAAAACAACATTGGGGTATTAACATTCTGAGCTGACAACAATGGAAAAGAACGATACCAAAAAATCTCACCAGAATTTCCTTGGTATGCAATACCATGCTGACCTAATAAAACTCTAAGTTTCTTTATTTCTTCAGAAAGTTGCTTGTATTCCTAAGAAAGAAAACACATTAAAAATAGTTCTCCCACTTTTCAAATACGTACCTGAATTGGAACCTTTTAAGAAAAAAATGCCTCCGTGCACAGCTGTTACACCTTTTGACTTTAAGGATCTTAAAATGCTTGTTCCAAGAACACAGCGCAAATTTTAGAAAAAGATACATGTCTGAGTTGCCAAAAGAGGAGCCGGCTTTTTTCAAGTCCAAGAGTAAGATTTAGAAATGTTTTCTGGAACTATTTCAAATCTGTCCTGCAACTAGCATTTTATCGTAGGACAAAATCTAAAGGACTACCCTTATTTTATAATTATCATAATTCTGCAGTCTGGATATTTGTCAGCTTCTCAACTCTTGACCTAGCAACTTCATGTTCTTGCTTCTCAGCAATTTCTGTTAACTAACAGACAGGGATTGCTGAGTTCTTTTGAGACTCAAAGCACATACCTGAAATCTCAGAGAAGCCCCTATTTTTTTTTTTGTGTGTGTGTTTTGGTGTTTACATAAATAAAGCTAGAGCAAAAGAATAAGTATTTAAGATTCTTTGATTACCAAACCAGCCAATTTATGTCAATTAAGCTATGATGAAGCCAGAAAAAGTAGAAATTATTAAATACTGTATTGTTAATGAGTGGAAAAAAAAAAAATCACATAACTGTTCCAGCTCCTATGAGATCAAAATGGTGATCTTTATATTAAAGTATATTCAGCTTAGCCATGGTTTTATTTGGTTATATTCATGAATTACTACATGGTGTTTTGTCTTTGCTACATTTTTCAAATAAAAAGACAATAGCAACTGCTACTCTGCATTATAATGAATGAACTCCTTTCCATGCTCTTTTTCTGACAGTCAGGTTGCACTCTTTTAGGCCGAGCACACCTTCTACCTCTATTTTCTCCATTCCAGTTCTGTTGCAGAAGAACTGTTGACATACACAAGAGTCATTCAAAAATAAATACAGCCATTCTGCCTATTGCTTGTGCAACAGCCAATATATTCTTACACAAGTGAGGGTAATTATCCAGAAAGAGAAGTGTCAACATTCTTGAGGTTGCTTACACATTTATCTTCACTAGTAATTCCATCCTGTCTCCCAATTGATATTCCCCAGGAGTACCTACAAGGTACATAACCCAAGCACATACACTAATTCCTTCATAACCCCCATCTTCTTACTGAGCATTCATTTTTGCTGGTTTGTTTTTGACTTAGGGGGCTATAATAAAAATACTGAATCACACTATATGCAGGCTGTTACATATGGAAACCAGAAAAGATAACCCCATGAAGAGATTCAGCTGAATACCAAGGGAGTTTACATAATGCTATCCCACTGATATTGTCATACATTAAAAAGGTGGCAATTCCACATTGTAAATATTATGCTCTATACCTTACTGCATTTTTCCACTGTTTCAAATTCCAGAGTTATTTTCTTACTATGTTTTTCAACTTCATTTTCTTCTGTTGCTTTTAGAAGTCCTGCTTCCTCAAAAATCTCTTTCAGAATTTTTTTGTAACCCTAAAAAAGAAAGTTTCCAAAAGGTGATAGATCAATCTATTCAACTCTTATCTCTGCTTGCAATTTGTACTTGCCATTCCAAGTCCTCAAGCTTCATTACCAGTTCATATAGTAGTTACAGAACATGAAAATTACTATTTGCCAACTGCAGAATAAATGCACCTACTCCGAAAGGAGAAACTACAGAAGCCAAGTTTGGCTATTTGACAGTAACGTTTTTATCAAATAGAGTTGGAAAAAATTAATAAACCTGATCAGTTATTAGTCCATCGTACAGAAGCTGCTCTGCTTCATCCCACTTCCTTTGCAGTGCTTCAGTCAGAGTTGGATAAACTGAAAAATGTAAGTAAAACCATATAAACATCAAGAGCACTGTCCTGCCTTAGTTAATTCCTCCTCTAGTATCATGCAAGAATATCTGTTGTAAGAACTCAGTGTTTCTACACAGTACACAGTCTCTACTGCTTTCAAGAGCTTGCCTTACACTTAGGTTGTGCTTCACGCATTTGAAGTGTCTGGAGAACGACTAGAAATTTTTCTTGTTTCGAGATACAAGGCCTCGTATTCCTTTGCTTAGTGTAACTCCAACTGAGCTTTTTTGTAATGTAAGTAAATGGGCAGATACGACAGGGCTTATTCCTACCGTTTGAGAAAAGAAAAAAAAAGCCAAAAAACATTCACTGGGTCTACACTAGCAGTGACAATTTATTTGAGAAATACCTGTGTGCTATATTGACTGGGATTTAAAAAACACTTCATATTATATGTTAACATTTCATACCAATTTATATTAAGGTACTAACTCAACCTAGAAATGGACATTCTGAGGATAGCGTAATATGCCAGCTGTTCCACAAAGTATTTTTTAAATCTTACCTAAAAGTGAGTGGGGATGGCACACAAGAGGAGTCTCAAATGTCAGAGAGTAAACGCAAGTACTTGGCTCAGACACATAAGCCAATTTATTGCTCTTTCCACAAACAAGATGAACCTAAACATCAGTAAAAACAAAGATGAGCAAAAAAAGTCTACGTGAAACAACACCATCACTGATGTTCAATCTGCTGTGTTCCAATGCCAGTAGATGCATTGCTCGACACACTGTCATGTCGAAGCTTCCAGCGCCTTTTTTTTTTTCTCCCGACAGAAAAAACATCGTAACAAGGACACTGTCCATTTATTTTATCAAATGTGAAAATTGTTTTCTCTAATGGGAAATTATTCTCCCCACCAACCACTGTTCCTTGGACTACTAAGCACCCTATTTCCAGCAATAATGACAGTAAAAAGGATGGTGAATAGGACACCCTTTAGAATCTCATCTAACATAAGCACGGTTTTCTTAAATTTTATTTCTGACCAATGTGCTAACTTAAGAATACAAGACACATCCAGACTGCAGAGAGTTGTTTTCACCTTTAGATTTGCAGCACCCATATTTTCTGTCTTCAAAATGAAATACCAGTGAAAGATTTAAATTACAATACCAAAGATCATACAGGAATATAATTTCTTTCTGCAGCTTCTATGGGAAATAAAGATGTTAAGCAGGCACCTCCATTAGAGCATAACGTTTTCACCTTGGCCAGGATATGGCAGCCAAGTTGGCAGCTAATCACAAGAGATTCAACAAGGCAAAGCACTGCGCCTGGCTCATGACAACCCCATGCACTGCTCCAAGCTTGGGCAAGAATAGCTGGAAAGCTGCCTGGTGGAAAAAGACCTGGGGATGCTGGTTGACAGGCGCTACTCATTAGGCTTGTGCTCCAGACCCTTCCACAGCTCCAGTGCCCTTCTCCAGACATGCTCCATCACTTCAAAGTCCTGCCTGAAATGCCCCTAGTGCTTGCTCTAACACCATGCTTAGCTTCTCAGGATGCTATTGTTACCTGCCTAATTAATTTCCCTCCTTTTTCCTGGATGTTTTTAATAGGCTGGCATCTTGATTTCAACAAAGAGCTCTTTTTCTTTATTTTGCCTGACACTAATTACAAAGCACTGTATTGTATTTCTACAGTAGTAATTATACCACTCTATCAAGGAAAAAGAGTTGCAAGTAACCGACAAGAAAACCTAAGTAAATGTCTTCTAAATTTTATCCTGATTCTAGCTTTCCTCCTCCAGTCATTCACACAGTTTGTGCAGGAATTCATCTTTCTGTTTTCTATCACAGCTTAAATGATGACTTCTTCAGGGTAGGAATGTTTCAGTTTGTAGTCTCCCAAGTGTATGCAGAGTCATGCTGTCTGAATTAGCATAGTCTACCGCTATTATACCTTTGTCTGTCTGCTCTTGGTTTCACAGGAGTCTCCTTCCCTCATCCACATTCCAATAAATGTGTTGTTGTCAATTTCCCATTCATGCCAGATTCTGAAAAAAAGAGGACACTATTTTGTTTTAAGTTACTGGGCAGAAAAATGTGAACCCTCAGGAAGAAGACCAACAATACCCTTAATACCATGTTCAATTTAAGTGTATGTACTTCATTTTTGTTGTCTTAGTATTTCCATTTCCTATAGCCAACTCCTTGGAAGCAGTGTAGTTTGTTATCCAGGATGCCATATAGGACACTTCAATAGCACTTTTTGAGAGCAGAGTTTTGGATAAAATTTCAGTTTGCAAACTATTTGCATTTAGAAATCTGTGTTTAAGTCCAGTAACGTTTATAGACAACAGTTTATAGATCAATCCCACAACAAATTCCATGAGGCTAAGTACCATATGCAACTCAGTTTGATCGCAGGATTTTTAGTGCTGGTGGAAGCATCTACAGAAACTACTGGTAGCTGTCTACTTCTGCTAGTCCTAAAGCAAATGATACCCTCAGCATGGTGATGTACCAGTTTCCTCACATACTGGCTTACCATTTTGCACATAGGAAAAAAACGAGGCATCTATATACAAAATATATAGAAAAGCAATGGTCTGATTTATACTTAGATTGATTTTAGGTATTATGATTTGGCAGTATTATGATCCAGGGTCTTTAACTACTTTGGGATACTTTTTTTGGGGTGTACATTATGTTTAACAACCATTAGGCATGAAGCACTCTTTTCATTTTGTAATTTTTGTATTTAACTAAAGCTGCAAATAGTTACTGGACATGAAATCTGTGCTAATATAAGCTGTATTTAGACACTATTGAATTTCTCACGTGAACATATCATACTTGCAGTTGTCATTCGTTATTAATCAGTCTCCAGCTAAAAGACGAGGTTAGTATTAATCAACAAAAAAAGAATCTGAATTTTTCAAGACAGAATATTTTTACGTATAACGCCTTGGGAACTAACATGACATAAGCTGACCGATGGAAGAATCTTATTTTTAAAACTGTCTCCTTTTTGCAATCTATGAAATGGCCTGCTGACACCATAGCTAAAACGTAAATGGTCTAAATGCCTCACCCTAAAATCCCACTATAGGCATTCCATCGAAAAGTCTGCTCATGCTGAGTGACATTATGGAATGGACAGAACTCATACTTGTACCTTAAAATGAGAGAAAAGAAACAGAAAATAAGAAAGGTTTCAGACAGGAATAAAAAAAAATCTATTTAATTCCTATTAAGTATATAAACAAATATCCAAATCCATTACTCACGTGGATTCCATAAAACTGAAACACTTGCCAGCAAGCCTAAAGAGATGTGCAGGGCCTAAAAACATCACAACATGACATAAAGGAAAAATAATGTTTTGGTTAAATTTAAGCAAGCTACTGTGGTGACAAAAGTGCAAGGAGTATGTGACAAATTTAGTTTCATGCTGTACATAAGGAAATTTTTATCTTCCATAAGAATTACTCTAAGTTCTCACTAGCACTATACTGGTTTGCGTCATGTTCTTTAACGTTTTTCATTCTCACAACCCAGAGAGATAGATAAGCCTCTTTCGACAACAAAAATGAGAGGCCTGTGTAAAAACATTTGGAGGCCGGGTCCATAATAGGAATCATCAGTGCAGATCCTGCCACAATCTAACACTGAAATCACTGAAACTCTTGTTTGGCAGCTGTCTCCAAATTCATCCAAACTCTGCAAGTTTATACTAGTAAAGCCCACTTGTTCAAAATATTGACAGTGCTGCATAGTTAAGGTTCACTGGGATTCTCTAACTGGATAATCCTTTTCACTGTTCGCCTTCACGGTCTGATCCAGGTAATATTTAACAAGATAAACTTTTTGCCGTCAGACAGGTCAGCAGTTGCAATTCTATTCTTGTATTATTGATTACAAGACTTGCTGTTAAAGGAATCCAAGATAGGTAACTTTTCATTAAAAAGAAGGTGAAAAGTTCTGAACGCTAGAAGAGTATTTCAGTATCTCTTGTGTAAGGAAATTTTCCTTGGAATTACTAAGTATTTATGAGGAAAGAAGAAAGGAGATTACAAAGCATATAAAGTAAAACCCCATCCTGGATTCTAATTCCCCAGTGTCAGGATTGTGAGGGTACTTTTTCCAGGTATCTAGACAAGCAATCCTACAAAGGCCAGACTATCAGAATCATGCCCTCCATAATGCTTTAACCACTGGGATACAGGCAGGTTCTCTTTCCCAAGTATTCTTCTGACTGTATGATCTTGCATTTCATTCTAGAGATGGGCTAGGCCAAAGGGTTTGCTCCTCTACTACGTGAAATCTGTGCCCCGGTGATTAGCATGCTCTCCCCGCAGATGAAAAGAAGCAAATGTGAGAAATGCATGAAATTCATGTCTCCCTTTCCAGGGCAGATGCTGTAGAAATTACCAGAACTATTACGACAACTGTTTTGTAGAAGAAAAGAACAAGTACGGTTTTCATGCTAAAGAAGTACTTGTGCAAGGCAAGGTTCCATGCCCTAGGTTTGCGCTCCATATACACTTCCAATTTTTGGCTACGTGTAAGATCCTACAACATAGAAAAAGGGATTTCTGGTGTGCTGTCCTTTTTTCCTGCTACATTTGGCATCTTTCCATCCTTCATTTTATGGCTAATCCCATATTTCATGTTTCACATGCAGTTATACACATTATACACTTGATATGAGTTTATAAAACATGAAAGAAAACATTAAGCATAATCACATTCAATGTCGTCATACCAAAATGCCTTTCTTGAATCTGAACAAGGTTTAAGTCTGTGCCTAAGCTTAGCAGAGAGACAAGATTCACTCCCTTTTGTTTAGTCTTTGCCTTCAGTGATTATCTGCTCCCCTCTATAGATGGCCTAGAATTTTTTACATTCCTGTTTATTTTACATAAGTGGTGTATTTACGTTGCAACATCTAGGCTGTGTGTGAAACTGAGCCCCTCTGACTGGTTCCAAGAGTACTTTTAGGACTTTTTTTTAAACTATTTTTGGGTATTAAGCACTACCAGATGATGGGATGACTTTTATATGACAATCTCAATGACATTGAGGACTGTGTCAAGAAGAAAAGAGTATTTACTGTGGAATAAAATCAAAATCTGTGACAGGCTAGAAAAGCACAGAATAAAACACATGGATAGTTCTGTCACAAAAAAACAGCACTAACAGCACTGGCACCTGGAACCACCACTGAAGTTAATCTAGGTTTTAATCCTTCAGGAGTACAATGAAATATATTTGCCTGTGCTTATTTTCCAGGATGCCTATAAAATCTCACGCAAAATTTGGTTCAGTGTGTGTAAAGTAGAAATAGACTATTTGCCCTGCAAACGAGTGCTGCTAAATGATGAAAACTGGAGGGGAAAAAAAAAAAAAGTAACGGTTGCATATACCTGATACTGCAGACGGGGACATCTTTGGCTGCAGCCTATTTGTTTGAGGCAAGAATGGGTTATTCAACCTTTCAAAAGAAGGAAAGTCAAACGTTTAAGGCTGAGTTATGCATCTGGCCGTGCCTACATCCTCCCCTACCTGTGTGTTTCAACACCGACAGCCGCTGCCCGCGGGCCAACGGGGGGGTCTGCGGCAGCGGCCCGGCTCGGCGCCCCATTCCCGGAGGGAGAAACGGGCTGGAGCGGGCACAACGGCACAGAGACCCGAACCCGCCGAGGGCGGGCGGATCGCGGGAAGACACGGCGAGCAGGCGACCACGTACCCGAACGTATTCGGCTCCTCCACGATCTTCATCTTCCCCGCCGAGGCGAAGAGACCTATTAGGAGTGAGCAGTTGGGCGCGGCGGATGGACCAAGCCGCTGGCGCGCCCATCCCCACCGCGGCCCCCGCACCTACCCAACGCCGCGCTCAGCGCCGCCAGCAGCAGCCGGGCCGCCATCGCCTGTTCCGCAGGAAGCGGAAGCGCGCGACACCGCGGGGCGGAGTCTCCGCCGAGCGCGGCCATGGAACGCGGTCGGCGCGGGGGCCGGCGCGGGGTTCGCAGCCTCGAGACTTTCGCGGCGGAAGCGGAGGCCGCGCTGAGAGGTGCGTGAGGCGCCACGGGACGCGGGCAAGGACAGGCGGGTTCTGCCGGGCAGCGCCGCGTAGCCGCTGGGCATTGATGTACACCTGCTGTTTTCAGCTTGCCTGGAGGGCGAGAGGGCCGCGGATGGGGACGCTCGGGAGGCCAGATTCCCCTGCCCCCTTGCCATGTGGGAGCTCGGACACTGCGATCCCAAGAAATGCACCGGGAGAAAACTAGCGCGGAAGGGGTTGCTGCGAACACTGCGCCTCCGCCAGAGATTCCCGGGCGTCGTCCTGAGTCCGCTGGCCACGGAGTACGTCTCTCCCGCTGACAGGTGGGGCCCCGGCGCCTGTTGGCAAAACCGGGGCGGCGGGAGAAGGCGGGGAGGCGCCGACTGTGAGGGAGAGCGTTTGGTTCATGCTGTATTAGGGAGAGCATTTGAACCACTGCCTCATGGCCAAAACTCACACGGAATAAAATTGACCTTCTTAGTACATTACTCTGATGCATGAACACGAGAAACAGCTGTTTTATTAAATCAGCTTAACATTTTTACACAGCTGGTATCAGATGAGAAAATCATCTGTAGATCTCACTGAGAAATCAAGGTGCACGTATTGTAGGTTAATTTCTTCAGAACATGGGCCTGTAGCTACTGTGTCTTTTATCATGCCATATTTAATTTCTTCGGTTAGACAACACAATGTATTGACCGGAAAACTTTTTTTCGGGAAATGAGAATTTTCTTCAAATGTGCCTGCAGAATTTTTACGAAGATATACTTACTCAGAGAAAAGATTTGTTTCTAGAAGCGGAGATAGGATAGCTGAGAACCTAAATCGGAACTTTTATGTATTTTAAGGTTTGATTGAATGTTACTATTAATCACACTTCTCTGTCACATTTTTAAACCTAGCATTATTCACTTTTCATTTTGTAATATACGGATAAACCTTTTTTGCCATTTGCATATTTGGAGGAAAACCACGCTATTATTCTTTCTTATTACATCGCTAGTATAGGCTCTTGTAAAGCCTGTGGGTTTTGATTGAGAAACAGGGGTTGCATGCAAGTTGGTTGCTAGTATAAAGTGGCAATTGGAATTCTCACTTCATCAGTATAATGGTGACAATTTTTCAAATACAGTGACTTTCTTTTTTTCAGGCGTGTCATTGCTCAGAGTGGGATTGCAGTCATAGATTGCTCATGGGCCAAATTAGAAGAAACTCCCTTTAAGAGAATGAGGGGGAGTCATCTGCGATTGCTGCCTTACTTAGTGGCTGCAAATCCTGTTAACTATGGTCGGCCGTGCAAGCTGTCCTGTGTGGAAGCTTTTGCTGCAGCATTTTGCATTGTCGGTAGGTTCAATTTGTCTGATGTGAAGTATGTTGCTAGCAATTCCTACATCCTTAATAAATCAGAAGAGATGGTTTACGAGAAAATACATGCTGTCACACAGGTCATCACTTTCTTGACTTTGGGATCAGATTGTCTAGCTTTCTTCCAAGTATGTGTTTCAGTGGCACTGAGGTAGCTGTGGAGTATTCATGTTAGCTACGGAACAGGACACAAACTGATAATTCTCATTCTGTCTGGATGGTGCTTAATGTTAGAAGACAGAGCATGAATCAATCCTTAGGCACCTTTGCCGGGCTTATAGGGCAAGGTCTGGGTAAGAACAAAAGAAACTGCCCCCCCTCTTGTAATGGTCTGCAGACACAGAACTTTGGTAAGAGAAATGCTCTACCATACTGCAGACAAATCTTATCTTGTGAAAATACGGTATGTACAACTGGTCTTGTACTAAGGGGCTGTGGGCTCTAGAGCTTGAATCGTTCATTACCCATACAAATTATTTTTATGTAACACTCGCTAAAAGGCTATGAACTGTTCTTGGATTCAGTTCCATGTTTCAAGTTAAACTGAAATTTGAAAATATTTGCAGTCTTTTCAAAAGTTTTAATCCTCTTACACTGAATGAAACACTGGCAAACCTCTTTCTATTGAATTGACATGTATGCACATACTGAACTAGAAACATGTAAGCTGAGTGAAATCTCACACTAAAGAAGAAAACTGATAATTTATTTTGTTTCAGGATTCCCAGATCTAGCCACCATTCTTCTAAGAAAATTTAAATGGGGTAAGACATTTATTGACCTGAACAAAAATCTCTTGGAAAAATACGCAGCCTGTCATTGCCAGGATGATGTGCTAAGCATTGAGAAGGACTTTCTAGCCTGTGTCCAAGAAAAAAAAGGCGAAGAAGTAGGTAAGAGAAAAACACAGAAACACTACACATACCCTTTTTCTTACTAGTTTCTTCACAGTCTTTTCCTTAAATCTCATGAAAATAATTAGCAAGGTGGGAGGTAAGTGCTTTGCTGATATGTGCTGTTCTGTTTTTATCCTGTGCTAAGTGTGCCTGTTTGACCTTTTTTCCCCCAAGCAAAATAGGTGAAAATGACTGACGCAATTTAACGCGGAGAGTAGTGTATTCACGGCTGAACTGTGAAGCAGTTTACCCCTATTCAACTAACCAAACTGGAAAACTTGGGAGCAAAATACGATGCTTCCTTGTTTTATATACAGATGTTAAAAGCAGATTATGAGTAAAAAGACTAGGAATTGAGAATGAACTGTAAGAGAAATATAGGCATACAGTCAGACAGCAAGTTAGTTACAGACATACAATCCTCAATAAAGATGTTTAAAATGAGACCCATAATCAAAATAATTCATAAGTACAAGTAGTTTATTCCCAAACTCTTCCAGTAATTTATTGTTATCCCAGTATTTCATGCTGTATTCACAGGTGAGTGCTTGGTCTCATTCAAGAAGGCACAAAGAAAGGCAAATAATCAAGAACGTATGAAGAGATTATCCTAATTAGCATTTTCCTTTCAGGGTGATTACGCCCTGTGAACTAGGCCAGGGGCTTACACTGTAAGAAAATGCTTTTTTCACCTTCTGCAGTTTTTCCTTCTTTTTCCAGATCCATTTGACGTTGACTTAGAAAAAGAATTTTCTAATCCCAACAGACCAGTCAATTCCTCAGGGTAATGAAATTTAATCTATATACTAGTTCTACTTACTATGAGTTATTCTGCTCTTAAAATTTTGAAAAATGTTTCCAGTCTAGCACAAAGCAAGGAAGACTCTGAGGAGGACAACATGAGTAATCCAGATGATGCCACTGAAAGCAGTGAAAGCACTGATGAAAGCAGTCAAGATGAAATAAACACCCCCAATAATCCCACGGAGTTGTAATACCTTGTATAAAGAAATTTTCTTGTGAATGCTTGAGTGCGTCTTGTTCATCTGTAACTTGGTGCTTAGCAAATCTCAGTCTCGGTGCAGGTTTGTAGGTCTTTTTATGCACAAGGGCTCTGGGTTATTTAATTTTTAGGTAAGTATGGAATGTTAAATTATTTTGTAAGGAGTTTGAAGCTTAGTTACAAGTTAAAAAATAACCCTGTATTCTAATCAACGTGTTTGGAAAGAGGTTCATAGGGGATTATTTTTAACTAATAGTATATTAGGTAAACTTTCTTAACTTCTGGTCTGTATTTCAACAGGAAAACATGACTAAGTTATTGACCTATTCATAGGCACAACATACCACATAGGAAGTCTGACTTTTTGCAGGCTTGAACCTGCAAAACTACTTCATCTATTTTGAATAAACTGAGTTAAGCTCGAAAGGAAAAATTGCTTCTTGGAATTGCTTTAACATCTCAGTATGTCTTTTCAGAACTTTAATTGCTCGCTTTATTTACTCTTATACATTCCTAAGCAATACCAGTGTTTTGGCGCTTCGTATTCAGAACTGTACTGTGAAATTTCAGATCACAGGTTCATCAGTGCTATCTCTGTATATTTTCATCACTCAAAGCGGCACTGTACGAAGTCAGAAATACACATTGTCTGGCCCTTAAAGCTTTATGACAGACTTGCAACAGCAGTGGTATCTTAGGTCACTTTCTCCTATGCCTCCCAGTTTGTATAGTGAAAATAAGCTGTTAGCGGTTGTTTTCTACATATTTAAACAGAATACTCTGGAGTTTCAAGCAGCCAACAGAAACCTAAACTTTAGCAATCCTTCAGTAGAATTGGAGATACTAAGGAGAATTTGTAGACTCACTGTGACAAATCAAAGTTCCTCACGTCACAGGACCTTCTCGTCCCTCCACTACTAGAGGGATTATATACTAGCGCTACTGGAGCTAGAGCTGGGAGTAACAGCAGCAGTTTGAGTGGTACAAATACTCAATTTCCCTTTTGAAAACAAGAAGCACAAGTAAATTAATTCTACAAGGAGACTTTTCCTCTGATTCAGTTTTTTTCAGTAACTTCCCCACACATACGAAGTCTTTACCAAATGTGCTGTTTTAGCAAGGATTTCTTAGATAGTGACAAGAAAGCAATTCAGCGTAATTTTTAAAGGACTGAGAACAATGTGAGCATGTCATCTATTCTAATTTGTGGGGGATGCTTTTACATTCTAAAGCTATAGTAATCAAATGCAGACAAGCAAAACAGACTTGGGAACAGCTGTAAAACTTAAATTAGCTTAAGTGTTGAGCAGTAGCTATTTTTTTAATAAAAACACTGAAGAAGCTAAGCTCAGATGGAACAAAGCCTTTCACATTTTTTTCTGTTTTGCAGAATAATTTTGACTTAAAAAAATACAATTAAAAAAGCAGTGAAAGTTTAATAAAGGGCGTTATCAGCTTGACATACATGAAAATGACTTACATAACTGAACAGATTTCCTTTACAGAAGGAAACTGTAATTGCATAGAGCACGTCCTTTCCCTAGAAGCTATATGCATTAACATACGGAAAAAGGCACAAAATTATTTCTGATAAACAAGCACCATTAAAAATCCTCAGCATTCCTTGGACAACTTCCG